TTTCTTTGCTATGCCATTAACAGTGGCGCCTTGGACGGTGGGCGGCCCACATGGTCCACCTCCTCCAATGGCACTCATGATGCTCTTTGGCTGCTCCTCGCAGAGCTCTAAAGCCTGGTGCTTGCGTGGTATGAGGCTCGGCAGGATGCTGTGCGTCTGCAGTAGAACACCTTGCAGCTTCAGGGACTCTTTTGCCGAGGACACATCTGAACAGTGATATGAGGTAACGAGGGGCTTGCAGGGGCCGGCCCCGCGAGAGGGGCGCTCCTCCGAGGCCTTGCGCTTGACGGCGCCGTTACTGGACACGAGGATGTGGTTGCCGGTGCCGCTTCCCTCCACGCCACTCGGGGAGAGGGTGGAGGAGGATGGAGCCAGTTTGAAGCGTATGCGGTGAGCTTCGGCCGGAGCGTCGGTCAGAGCGGGCGCCATTGCAGCCATGCAGTGCTGGGAGGGGGCGGGCGAGGGGGCCTCTCCCGGTGCCGAGGCCAGCTCCACACCACCCACCTACCACTGTGCCAGGGGGCAGCCTGAAGAAACAAAACACAAAGAAACACCACAAATCAAATTTAGAGGTTCATCATGGATTGAAACAGCAAACAAACAAACCACACTTTAAGTATAAAAGGAAAACATGCAAGGCACATAAGGATAATGAACACTACTCCCCTTTGGATTTCTGTAATGTGTATGTGCTACACTGAATGGTTAATTGTATTTTCAGTGTACTTTGAAAGTAAACAGCAAGTGCAAGACTCCACTAAATTAAGCTGGTGGCTGACAGAGATGGGAAGCAAATATACATCTCACATTCATGATTCAAGGAAACTGGTGTTGATGGGGTAAAAAGATTTAGAGTGGTTTGTTTAGTTATACAGCCATATATTCACAAGTCCAGTGGTTCTTAACCAAATTGGTTTTAGGAAAGTCAATTTTATATAGATAATAAGCAGTATAAAACAAATAAGTAATAATAAAATCACTCTACTGATCTACCTATATTTAATCATATTTTTAGTAACATTAAATGGTTAACACTACATTTCAACAGGTGTTTGTGTTGAACAAAGACATTAGCACCTATTAATTCAAATTTTAATTGAGCTTTTTGCATGGTTTTTGTCTTCTAGGTTTAAAATCTTCATGTTAACACTGGCCTAGTGCTTCTGAATTAGTTTGTGCTTCAGGACCTGAATTTTACATTACAGCACAAAAATAAATAGGGTAAACGTACCTATTAAGCTCACATACCCATTAAGCACACTTCCATGTTTGAGCTCAGATTATAAAAA